TGCCCAATGCCTTTTGCCTGTCCCCCTGATTTCATACACTCCATTGCCTGGTTTCACTCCACCACCTGATTTCTGTCAAGGTCTTCATCAGCTTTCTGTCAGTCTTCTGCCACTCTGGTGCTCTGAGCCTCATAGTGCAATTTCTCACACCCGCAGTCTGATTTCTTTCCTTCTTGTGACTCGGTAAAATTTTCCTCCTCCGCTGGACTTCTTCAAGGCCCTGCCTGACTTCATTCTACCTCAGCCTGAATTTCCAGCCTTCCTGGGTCCCCCTCCGTACCATCTGACCGTGTCCCGGTGGTGGCCCCATAGCCCCAGGGATAGTGTCTATGAGAAAGGATACAGGGTGTCGCAGGCTTTCAGGAGTCACAGGTAGCCATGTGGGGGCATTAGAACAGAGGAGGGACGGTTTGTTCTGGGCCCATCACAGGCCCAGCTCCCACAGTTCTCTGCCCTGTGGACGTAAGCTTCAGATTCCAAGGCTTTGCCCTGAAGTAGCCAGTTCTGGGTTCTGAGGGTCCATTAGAACATCTGTTCCCCACAATGTCACTGGACCTTCTGAGTTGGGCACTGTGGTTCAGGGGGGCCGCCCAGCCTGGGGCAGCCGCTGCTGGTCCCCGTCTGGGGTCCTGAGGCTGATGTCTGCCCCTGGCGCCCCAGCCCCCTGGCCGCCGCACTGACCCTTTGGTTCCACTCGAGCCGGGACGGGAGAGGCAGATACTCCTGTTGCCTTAGAGAGATCTCGGAGATCAGGTCGCAGGCCAGATGGGGGAAGTGAGATATGGGGAGAACCTAGACCAGACCCCAAGCTTATGAGGGACATGACCTGGCGCTTGAGGCTTGGAGGGGAACTTGCTGCCCAGAGGGCAAACCCCTTGCCCCCTCCCATCCCTTTCCACTGGCCCCAGAGCCACAGGCTGGACCACCCTGCTTGAGGGGGGAGCTGGGACAAGTGTTTATGCAACTGTGGGGAGGCCACAGCCTGGCTGGCAGTGTCACCCGCCCAGCCCCAGCACTGACTCAGCAGAGCCCCCCAGCATGTACACACTCAGGCTTGCATGCAGACACTCACCTGCTCACACGTACGCACACACAAGTAAACACACATGTACAGATGCACAGGCAAACAGGCACACGTGTACACAGGTATACACATACGGCCCCACATACGGACACCCACATGCTCACAGACACCGACACACACACACCTAGGCACAAACAGTACACACACAACACTCATGCAGGCACAGGCACACACGCTTACAGAGATAAACACACAGGCACACAGAGAACTACACACACAAGCACACGCACACACACACACACACACACACACACACACACACACACGCCTCCCCAGCCAGGGCAGGTGGGAGGACGCCAGGTGAGGAATCTCCTCCCCCGGGCCCTCCATGCCATCCACTTTGACACCTGCACCCACAGCCAGTGACGCAAGCCCAGAAATGACATGCGGCACATGGTCAGTGCAGCCATCTGTAAAGGTAAGTGGCCCCAGAGTGGCAACATGGCCATGGCTGGAACAGAGCCACATTCTAAGGGGAGCTAAGCGTCATCAAATGGGGCCAAACCATCCAGCAGGGCTCACTTGGACTCAATAGCCCAGCCCAGCCCCTACCAGCCACCCCCAACCTGTCTCCTCCTAGTCCACACAAGGAGACTAGTGGGGTGGGGGCTGCAGAGTGTCACGGGGGGATGTGGGGGATGCTCCCTTCCACCACCAAGCCAAGCCAAATGGAGTGGTAGCCCCTGGGAACCAGGGGAGTCTGCAAGACTGAGGTATGCTTGGGAGTGGGCTGGGGGCACTGCAGCGTCACCCTGGAAACTAGAGGAGGGAGCAGGCATTCCTGGGAGAGTGGGACAAGTATCCCCTGGGGTCTGGGACACATGTGAACTTGGAGGCAGGGCCACTTCTCACCTGGAGATGACTGAAGGCAGGTGCAATTTCTACATGCAGGACTCCAACCTGAGGTGAGCGTCCCCAAAAAGAAAATGCTGGGACCGTCCAATCTCATGCGCCCCACCCCTACCAAGCTCCTCGGCTTGGTGTCCAAGGGCGAGGTGGACAGGGTGGGTCGGAGCTGGGGGCTGCCTAGGAGGGTGTTTGCCACGTCAGACACGGCTCCTCACCCAGGAGGTTCTGGGACGTGAAGATTATTTAGGGCTAAACGGACACCCTGCTGCTCCTCAGTGGGATCCCACCAACTGGCCAAGGAGGCTGGCAAGAACCCAGCAAATTCACCCTTCCATGCACATGGAAACATCCCCACTGGCCAAGGCCACCACAGCAAAGCTGCAGGCACCTCTGTTCCCTGTCCTACCAGCCAGCCAGATGCTGCACCCCTGAGGTGATTTGGTGGGAGACCATAGAAGGGCAGATCACGACCCCTCTCATCACCTGAACCAGATCTGGGGCTGGAACAGACTGAGCTTAAATAAAGAAAGAAACCAGAGAGCCCCAAGAGTTACTGGAGGTGTTGCTGAGTTTTCAAAAATGACCTAAAATTCTACCACTTGTCACCAGCTCCACTGCCAGCAGTCTGCGGCAAGCATCCAGGACCTGGACCCTCACGGAAGCCTCCTATCTGGTCTCCTTGCTTCTGCTCTGCCACCCACAGTCTATTCTCCACACAGCAGCCAGTGATGCTGATAGAACATTTCCCCCAGAGTGCAAGCCAAGGCCCCTCCCATGGCCCACAGGGCCCTCCGTCACTGCTCGGACTTCATGTCCTCCTGTCACCTCCCCCTCACACTCTCTGCTCCCATCTCGGGACATTTGATCCCTCTGACGGGACGTCTTCCCTTGAATGCCCGCATGGCTCCCTGGAGCAGACACTGAGTGCTCTACAGGAATGTTCTGGCTTGCCCATGGGGCCCTGCCCCAAGCAAAGACAGATGGGAGTTGGTGGATAAATACCCCGATTTCCCCACCCCTCAGGTGGGGCCACTCTACCATCTCCTGGAAGTCCCCACGGGACTCCGCCCCATTGTATCTGCTCCTTAGTGTGCCTCATAAGGGTAACTTTCCCTTCCCTGACTCCATTCCCCTCATCTCTCCTGTGCTCCTTGGGAGCCCCTCCAAGGGAGACTGCTTACATTCAAGTTGGCTGCTGGAGGAATCCAGCCTAAGACACCCCTCTCACCTCTCCTTCAAGTATTTGCTCAACTACCACCTTATCGGATAATCACTGACCTCATTATTTAACATGCCAACTGCCTCCCAACTCACAACTCACACACACTCACGCACACTTACTTGCACACACACATTGCAGAACCCCTTTCCTGTTTCTAGTCCCTCTGTAGCCTTTATCACTATTCGACACACTTTCCATGAGGGAGACTCAGGTTCAAGTTCCAGCCAATGCACTTCACCCACAGCCACCACCTGTCTGTCAATGAAGGTTTGAATGTTGCTATGATGATGAACAGGTTTTAGCAGAGCTTCCAGACTAAGACGGACTTGGAAGAAGGGCCTAGTAATCTACTTCCAACAATCAGCCAGTGAAAACCCTGTGGATCACAACAGTCCAATCCATTGTGCATGGGCTCATCATGAGTTGGGGGCTGACTCAACAGCAGCCAACGACAACAATAGCTGGGTAATTTGTCAGGTGTGATGTCTGTGTGAGCTCCTTGAGGGCAGAGATTTTTACTGCTTTCTCCACTGCAGTGTCCCCAGCACCTAGAACAGACCCTGGCACACAGTAGGTGCTCAATAAATGCTGAGGGTATAAAAGGAAGATGCAACAGACCCTTGTGCACACACTCACATATGTACTCTCACACATACACCTGACATACACACGATCATAGACTCCACACACACATCAATGCCCTCAGGCAGGATGAGCTGTGCGCACCTTCATACCCACTCTCACACACCAACATACCCACCTCACGAGCAGACAAACATGCATCCTTGTGAGGCCATGGAAATGCACCCTGATGGGGCCACCCTGACCTCCAGTGGCCTCCTGGCCTGTGCAGCCTGCTCTCCACTCTGAGACCTTGATCTCTCCCACACCCCCTGCCTCTAGGGCCCCCCAGCCCCTCTGCTCTCCTTCCCTTCAAACCTGTGTGAAACCTCCCTTCACTCTCCTCAGTGAATCCAAGGTGCTAGGGGAGGGCCGCTGTCCAGAGCAGGGTGCGGGGAATGGGGCAGGATGTATGTGCCACCTGACACCACAGAGACTGTATACTAGTCTTCTGCTGAGAAGCCCAGGCTGAGAAACCCACTGGAGGACCCTGGTACGGCCCCAGCAAGGCCTCAGCCTCTGATAGAGAGCCACACTAAAGACAGACATGCCTCAGTCTCCCCATCTGACTCAGGGCAGGGGTCTAAGGCCCTTTCAGTTCTTTTAGCCTGGGGACAAGGTTAGCACCTGCCCCAGCATCCACTCCCAGTGTGACTCAGGCAAGGCCATCCCCTGCCCTGGGCCTCAGTTTCCTCACTCATGACGCAGGTGGCTCTTGGCCAATGTCCCATGGTTCCCTGATTGCTGGATGTGGAATAAGAGCTCAGGCAGTGCTCTCGGGCACTGCGGCATCCTCTGGGTTACGTGGCCAAGTCTTCAGGAGGTAAGAGAGTTGGGCAAGAGCAAAGAAGGGAGAGAGGGAGAGAGGAAAGAAGGAAGGAATAAAGAAGGGAGGAAGCCATTTATTTGTGAAGCCCATGGGGTAGGGACCGAGACGCAGTCACACAGCAGCAGCCCGATGGTGGGGAAATGACGGCGTGCAGAGACGTCGGAGGCTTGTACAGGAGTCTCCAGGAGCGCCCCTCCTTCCCACAACTTCAGGCCCCTGGCTCAGCGTCATGAATGAGAGATGAACGTCCCCAGTATGGTCTTCCCTGGCCTCCCTGAAAGCAAATGCAGCCACAGACAACGGAGGAGGGGCCAATCAAGACAGCAGGATGTCAACTGAGAGCTAGAGTTGGTGGAGATGGGGGATTTGGACAGATTTGGAAGGGAGAGGTCTCACCTGGCCATGATGTGCTCAGCTGGCCATGATGTGCTTCACGAAGGCTGGAAAGAAGGAGAGAGTGAGCGGCAGGGGCTCCACACTGAGATAGCCCAGGGTGGGGGCTTGGGGTTCTAATGCTTCCCCTCCCCAGAAGCCCCTGCCACTGCTGAGCTACCTTCATAGTTGATGCAGCCGTTAGAGTCCTCCTGCCCGGCCATCAACTTCTCCACCTCATCTTCTGTCAGCCTCTCACCTGGCAGGGATGGGAGAGTGAGTCAGCCCCATCCAGGGATGTGGTGTGGTGGGGAACCCACTGAGACCCTCTGGATGGCAGTGGAAGCCTTCATGTCTCTCCAGTATTCCCGCATCATTGCTCATAAGGCCTGGCCATCACCCCCATGTCCAAGGCAAGAAGAATTGGTGACAAGTCAAGAGGAGTCCAGCCTGGGGTATGCCTGGTACCTCCTCCAAGCCTGGGCTCTGTCCGCAACAGTGCCATCTTGGTGTTCAAGTCACCAGCGCATACTGTCCTCTGTCCTTACTAGGCTGCCTGTGGTTCCCTCCACAGTAGGAGGCCAGGCCCCCATCTCCCTGAGGCAGTCCCTTGGGGACAGCCCTTTGAGGCCAGAGGAAGGACCCATGGAGTGGAGCTGGGGACTTTGGGGAGTGGTTATGGCGAGAACCAGAGGCACCTCCCCCTGCTCCCCAAACAAGCCAGGTGCCTCCCTGCCTCTACTTTGTGTGCTGTGCTGTCCCCTCCATTGCAATGCCAACTGTTGTTCACACACACACACACACAACCCCCAAGACCAGCACAGGGCTGCGCACACAGTAGATGCTCAATAAGTACTTGCTGCGGGAAAAAGTCGTTTTGAGGAGGAGGCACCACGGGCCAGGCACCTGACGATGAGGTTGGGGGTGGGAGGTGCATGTGGCCACTTAGACTCCATGCGCTGGAATCTGACCCTGGGGTTGAGCCGGTCCTCTGGATGTCCTGCCTCCCTGCCCGCCCTGCCCCAGAGCTGTTCCTGTCCCCGTTCTGTTCTGTGAGCTGCACCAATATGCTCTCTTTCTTCTCTGCCTAAGTGACATTTCTGTTGCCTGCCATCAAGGCACCATAATTGTCACTCTCCATTTCACAGCTGAGACCCCAGCCCAGCAGGTGACAGAGTGGTTTCTCCCAGGATCCCGGCTGCCCTCTGGAAACAGGAGTGGCGGGGAGTGGGGGGGAGCTGCCCTCACCCAGCGTGGCCAGCACATGGCGGAGCTCAGCGCCCATGACAGTGCCGTTGCCCTCCTTATCAAAGACTCGCAGCCCCTCCACGAAGTCCTCATAGGTCCCCGTGTCCTTGTTCTTGGAAATGTGCTGCAGCATGGGCAGGAACGTGTCGAAGTCCATCATCTTGCTGTTGAGTTCTGCAGGGAGAGTGTCCTGAGTCCCAGGCCTTGAGGGGTAGGACAGGGACACCCTACGCCCGTGCTTCATAACGAGAAGCTATGGCCCCTCACATAGTTTGCCATTTACAAAGCACTGCACGATCCCAAGGCACTTTGCAGTCTACCCAGAAACGCATTGTTTATAGAGCCCTTTGCTCTGAGTTAGCCTCTGTGTCCTCTTCCAGACAACAGGAAGATGTCGGGAAGGACACAGCAGAGAGGTTCATCTTGTCCACCACAGATGGCAGTCTTCCTGGGACTGCACTAATAGGGGGGTCTCAGGCAGGGTGTACCCACCTTCCTGCTTTGGTTTCCCCAGGACGCGGAGCACCTCGGCCTGCGTGGGATTCTGGCCCAGCGCCCGCAGGACGTCTCCACACTGCCCGTACGTGATCTTCATCTCACCCTTGGGCGTGCGATCGTACAGTGTGAAAGCTTCCTTGAACTCTGCCAGGAGAGGGCAGTGAGCTGGGGACGTACCCAGAGTGAGCCCAGCCCTACTCGCCCACACCACCGGCAGGATCTCAGACTGAGGACCCCGGCCCACTTTTGCCCCCCTGGGCTCAGGACCCCTGCTCACCTTGAATCTGCTCTGGTGTGAACTCAATCTGAAAGAAGACCCCAAAGACTGTGAGTGCCTGGCTCAAATGGTGGGGCCTGGCCTCCTCCTGGTCACTCTGTGGCCAGCCCAGGCCCCAGCCCCTCAACGGCCCCAGCCTGTCCCCATTCCAGCATCCCAGCCTCCACCCCTCAGAGCCCCTTGCTGTCCACTTTGACACTTTCCTGCCTCCTTACCTTCCCCCTACCCTCTGACCTCATTTATGTGTTGGGTCTGCGTGTGTCCAGGCCTTTGATGCCTGGTGGGCCACATGTACAGCTGAGTGCTGAGGTGGCAGTGAGGAGGGACGCCTGGACCCCAAGTCCCCCGTCCAAGGCGAGTATTACCTGAGGCCCCTGTTTCTGGAAAGAGGTGCCTGAAGCCACAAGACGTGACCCAGGCAGCCTTGCCACCCCCACCAGGCCTGGGCATCACGTGAGACAGAGGCCTTGGGAGTGGCAGGAAGAGCAAGGGTGAGGGTGCAGGCCAGAAGGCTCTGTCAGCATGGCAGTATGTCTGCAGCGGGTGCGCCCATCAGGCACCTGTGTGTGTGTGTGTGTGTGTGCGCGTGTGTGTGTTGTATGTAAATGTGTGTGCCTGTGCATGTTGTATGTACATGTGTGTGCCTGTGCACACATGTGTGTGCCTGGGCCCGAGTTTCACCATCCCCACCATCCAGTCCCTGGGGCAGGGCTAGGGCAGTGCCACTGGGTGCTTGCTGAGGCCACATCGGGGCCACCCCAGGGCCAAGAGGCCTCCTTGGACCGGGTGCCCCCTCCTCACGGGATACCAGCTCTATTTTTATCACTGCAGTCATTCGCCCGAAGGTCAAGCTCACAAGAGGGAAAGAAGCCTGGGGGAGGGGGCATGACTGGAGCCACTCCCACCACTGTTCTCTCGGAGCCCCACCAACCTCCACACTGCACACCAGTGAGGAGGGACGCCCTGTTCCTGCCACCCTACATGGTTGTCCCTCCTGGATCTCTGGCTCAACCCAGTGTTGAAAAGAACAAATTGTCATTCCTGGTCCCCTGAGAGTTCTATCTACCGGGAAGCCTGCTGAGATTAGGTTCCCTTGCTTCCTGGCAAAGCCTCCCTGCCCCTTCTTCACCTGTCAGCCTCTGTGGGGGCTGGCGTGCACAGGAGAGGCCTCGCCGCCTCTGCCTCCCAGAGGAGACTCTTCATCCACCTCAGACCTGGCCAGACTGGGCAATGCCACCAGGGGCCTCTGGTGTGGTGGGATCCTCACCAGGGGCCTGCAGACAGGATGCCAGCTTGGGCCTGGGGACTGTGGGGGGACAGGGAGCTGACTCTGGAGACCTCCCTTCTATGAATGGTTCCCAGCAGGCCTGAGAGAGGGGCTTATCATCCCATTTCACAGCTGAGGAAACTCAGAGCAGCAAAGGGGCTCAACAACTAAGTTGGAGCAGAGTTGGGATTCGAACTGTGTCTCGAGGGACATGGGTAGGTGCCTCCTGGAAGGGATCGTGAACAGGAGGGGGTCTGTGCAGATGGAGCGCAGGTCTTTCTGGGTGAGCGGGGGTGGAGGAGGACCCCACAGGGCTCCCCAGGGGAAGCCAGGGCAGCAGTGGCCAGTGGGCAGCCAAGAACAGGAACAGGCAGGACACAGGGTGCGTGCCACTATGCAGATGCCACAGGTGGAAGTCATAGCTTGTCTTCCAAGTTTAGACTCTGGGAAAGTCTTCCCAGGCAGGAAGGGCTCCAGGGGCCACTAATCACAGCTCCAAAACCAGCTCCATGGGTGACCTTCTGTGAGTCCCTATCAGCCTGTGCCTCGATGTTCGCACTGAACGCTGAAGTCCAGGAGGGTTCTGCCAGCTCTGAGGCTAATGACCTTGGTGGGGTGCGTCCCCTTACTCCCCTCCACTCACCCTGGGGGACTTGCATGGACTCAGGACACCTCAGCCAGATAAGGAGGCTCTCTGCCTGGCTGCAGAGGTGGCGGGGTGGGAAGAGGGGACAGGCGGCTCCAGGACTCCCCAGGATGTGAGAGGTCCAGGGAGAAGGGCAAGGGAAGGTCAGTTTTTAGAACCCCCCAAAAGACACTCCTTTCAAACCCCAGCCCAAACTCCCCCCTATAGTGCATTGAGCTCTAGGAGCACCACGTGGAGTCCTGCCAGGTGTCTGACCTCCGTCCCTCCGGCTGAAGCCCTCCTGAGGCCTGAGCCCTGAGGGCTTGTCTGACCTCTGCAAGGAAGTTTCCAGCTTCAGCTGTGCTCACTTTCTGGAGCCTGACCTGCTGCTAGGTAGCTCCACTCTGGGGTCCACTCATCCATCCTGCCCTTCCTGCCACAACCCAGCTCCCACACCCACCTTGATCTTGGAGGCATCAAACACCGGCTCCTTGGGGTGCTCGGGCACAGGCGGGGGCGCTGGAGCTGGAGCTGGAGCCGGAGCTGGAGCCGCTTTGGAGGCTGCCTTGGCGTCATCCTTCTTGGGATCTGGCTTTTTGGGGGCCATGGAGGTTATGAGCACAGAGAGGGTCGTGGGGAGTAGGTGCAGAGAGGAGGCTAGGTGAGCCTCTGCACCCAGGCCTTTATCCTGCCTGGTCATCGCATGACCCCAGCCCCACCCCTGCAGTGCACAATAGGGAGAAGGCCATAAAAGGACATTGGCTAGGCTCAGGGGCTATTTTGGGGCCTGGGGAGGGCATTGTTCAGGCTCAGGAACGGGTAGGGGAGAGGGGAGGGCTCTCCATTCCTCCCGATCACCTGTCTGGGGGAGGGAGGGAGAGGAGAGGACAGAGGCCAGGGTTCAACACACATGTGCACGCACACACATGCACACCCACACAGAGGCATACACACTCAGGCCCTGCTGCCCCTTGGCAGTCAGTGAATTGAACAGGTGAAGAGGGCTGGGTTGAGTGCGTGCTGGGGTTGTGCTGGGGACAGAGGGACTGGGATAACCTAAGGGAACCTCTCCAGTTAACGTCCCACCTGTGAATGGAGTGCCTGTGTCTGTGTCTGTCTGAGCGTCCATGTAGAGGCCCTGCATGGGTCTGTGCATTACGGCTCTGTGCGTGTGTCTGTGCCCCTGTGTGTGCGTGTTTGTGTGCGTGTCGTCTGCGTCTCGGTGTCTTTTCGTGCACGGGATGCTGTCTGGGTGTCTGGATATCTGTGTTCAGGGCTCTGTGTGTCTGTGTGTTGTCCATCTGTCTGTGGGGGCGTCTGTCTGTAGTGCCGTGTTTGTGCAGCTATACGAGGGATGATCCGAGCATTTCTGTCGTGTCTGTGTCTGTATCTGGGGTCAACCTGTGTGTGGGGGTCTGTCTGCGTGTGTCTGTGGGTGTTGCCTCCGTGTGTTTGTGTCTAGGTGTTGCTGTGTGTCTCTGTGAGTGTCTGCTCACAGCTCGCAGGCAGCTGCAGCCTCAGCCAGGGGTCCGAGGGGTGGTCCTAGGAGTTAGTAGAGTGGGTGCCACTCCCCTCACCCCTGGCAGTTACCCCAGCCCCTCCCACCAGCCAAACGGCCCCCACAGCCTCCCTCATCAGCAACCACTTGGCCCTGAGGCCACTTCCTCAGGTTTTACCCCTGGATGCCCTACTGCCCCTCTTCCATAGCCCCAGTGACCTATCTGCCCCTACACCCCGGGGGCCTGGCTCCCCACCAGAGCGTTATAGACACTGTACCCTCTGCCTCAGCTCGGCCTCACTGCCCCCTCTTCTACCGCCTTTCCCTACACCCCGGGGCCTGGCTCCCCACCAGAGCTTTATACACACTGTACCCTCTGCCTCGGCTTGGCCTCACTGTCCCCCCTTTCAGGAAGCTCTCCCTGATTCTATACCCACCGCCTTATGTTTGCCTCTGCTGACCCCTATGACCAGGGACCCTGGAAGGGTTGCATCTCTGAGGGATTCCAGGGGGCTGAGCAGGGTTTGCTCCCTGGTGTTCAGCCCAGTATGCTCACCCCCAGCACCCATTTCTCAAAACCCAGCCCCTGGTACCACCCCTTGGCGTGCAGCCCTCAGCAGATGGCAGTGACAGAGTGCAGCCTGGCTAGGCCACTCTTTGGGGAGGTGCGGGAGGCGGGAACGCCAAGTGGCGTGGGGTCCTCCCAGGCTTAGACGGTGGGGACATCTTGTGAACACATTGAGTTTAGTTCCCTGCCCAGGGTCTGTGCCTGGGGCTGGGAAGGAGGTGTTCCCGGTTATTTTTAAGTGCCTGGAGCCTTTGATAGAAACCTCAGAGGCAGTGCCCCCACCCCCAGCCCCGAGGGAGTTCCTGGGTGTGGAGAGGGGCTGTAGCCGTGCCTGAGAGGAGGGTTCACTGGGGGCTCCGCTGGGGCCCCCCACCCATGTCCCTCTCATCCTGTCGCTCAGCCTTACTGTGAGGGGACAGCAGTGCCAAGACCCCTCCCGGCCGAAATGCGGGGCATTCTTCCTTTCATCTGGAGGGCAGAACACCCCACATCTGGAAATCTGACAACATCCGGAGCTGGGGGAGGGTGCAAGTTTTTCACTTTTCTTCCAGATGTTTGGCAACAGTATTGAGATAGAAAGAGGGGGGAGAGGTCCGCAGACTAGCAGAAATGCCACAAGAGGAGGGGACAGCCAGAGGGGGATGCAAAGAGAGAGGCCTCTAGGTAGCCCCACTGCCCAGGCCTGCTGACCTCAGAACACCTGTCTCTACGTCTCATGCAGCCGCAACCACCCACAGACACAGCCAAGACACTGCCAAAACCTCTTTCATTCATCTTCAGGGAAACCGAGGTCCAGGGCAGAGGACATACCCAGGGTCACCCAGACCCCCTATGCCATTTGTTTTGTCCACATCCAACTGCCGTCCCTTGGAAACCACCCAACACCAGCTAGAACACAGGTGAGTGAGTGACACGGGCCTCCTGGGCCTCGGTTTCCGTGTCTGTGATGCCCACCTTGTACCAGAGCCACTGCAGTGCCACCTTCCTCTGCCTGTGTGTGTGTGGTGGGGGTGGGGGTCTCAGTCCCCTTCCCTTGTGGTCCCGCCGTGTGACAGGGTGCGCAGAGCCATTCACTCTCCTCACCAGGGCTCAGATTGGGGCTGGGGCTGACCGTCTGAGCTCTGGCTCTAGCCCCACCCCTGCTGGCTCCCAGAGCAACAGTTCCCCGGGGCCCACCCCACAGGACCACCCTCAAACCTCTAACTAACATCCAGCCCCCAGCAGGAACTCTGCAGGGATCAGCCCAGAGCCCTGTTCTCTGAGGGCCAGCCCTGTGTCATGGTTGGCTGTCTGAGGCCAGCAGTGGGACTGGGGGAGCAGGGGGAGCAGGCAACGGGCAGCGAGGACAGGCCACACCAAGGATTGGTGCTCACCTCTCTCTCCCCATTCCTTCAGGAACAGCTGCCCAGAAGGCCAGATCTTGGCAGGGCCTAGGGGACCTGAAAGGTCTGGGAGGCTTGGAGGGTCTGGAACCTACCCCCTTTGGGTCCTCCAGCCTTGATGTCTGAGTTATGATCTGCTCTGATGCAGACTCACACACGCCATGTTCCAGAGCCTTCTCCCGGGGTAGCTGGGGAAGATGTGGGCCCTAACATCTCAGGGGCCTTGTGGATATAGGCAGGAGGCTCCTTGCCACGCTGACCCCCATCCAGGTCCTCCCCATGCCCCAAGCCTTTGCACGGGCTGTTTCCAACCCTGGCACCCTCATCTGGGACCCTAACCATGTAGTAAGATGTCACCTCCTCCAAGAAGACTCCTCAGACTTCCTTGGACCTGCTCCCTCAGCCCTGTCTCCCACCTTGACCCCCCCATCCCTGCAGACCCTAAAATGATCTTGTTTCTTTGTTATCTTGTCTCTTTGTATCCCTCCTCCCTCTCCCCACACCTGCCCATGAGTGTCAGCTGAACAGGGGAGGAAATTCTGTTCTCCCAGGGCCTAGAACAGAGCCTGGTATACAGCAGGTACTTAATACATGTTGGATAAGCAAATGTGCCGGACATCTCAGTTTACTCACCTCTCACAGGGGGCTGGAACGTCTTGGGGTGGTGTGAGGGGAACTGGGAATAGGGACTTACCAACCGACTCTCAGGAGCTCTGGTGGCCACAACAGCAGCCCAAGAGGGTGATGCAGCCAGCAGCTTCCCCCAAGCCCACTTGCCGTCCTTCCCGGGCCCACCTGAACTCAGGTCTGCCCCTCATGCCACTGTCCCGTCTCCAGGGCTGAGATTTTCCGATAGCCTGGAGAGGTAGAGGTGACCCCACAGTACAGGCAGTGACTTGGCCATGATGACCAGCCAGCAGGGGGCGTAGAAGAGATGTGAACAGGGCATTTGGACCCTGAACCCAGATCCCAGAACCCAGGACCCCAATCCAGACCCCAGACCCAGAACCTGAAACCATAAACCCAGATCCCAGACCCAGGTCCCAGAACTCAAACCCCAAAGCCAGGTTCCAGAACCCAGGATCTCCAACCCAGGCTCCAAACTCAGATCTCAGGATCTGAACCCTAAACCTGAAAATTGGACCCCAGAACCTGAAACTCAGAACCCAGGACCCAGAGTAGGAACCCAGACGCAGGTCCCAGCACACAAACCCTGACCCCAGACCCAGAATCCAGGACCCCAACCCCAGACTCCAGACCCAAGACCCAGGACAGGGGCTGACGGTTTTCCAGATCGGCACCGTCTGCTGCCGTGTGTAGACATGGTGGGGCGGGAGCGGGGGTAAACTCTTGGCAAGCAGCAGGGGTGGGTGCTTGGCAGACCCCCCTGTTAGTGTTCAGAGGGGCACGGGGAATGTCCCTCATTCTATGGGAGCTCAGAGTGTGGCAGTCATGTGGAGGGGGTGGCAGGTCACGAGTGAGATCTAGCTGCTCCTTGGGCCCAGAAGCCAGAGGCAGGCAGGGGAACGGCTCTCCACGTGCCCTCGTCCCCCTGGCCGCCGGCTCCACAGGCCGCCCCGGTCCACCCTGGCCCGCCCATCCTGGCCCAGAGCGTCTGGGCTGGGACACAGGCCCACACTTCCCGGAGGAGTCGAGAACGCGGCCTGGGCCAGACCCAGAGCCTCAGAAGTAGGTCAAACGTTGCTGCACAGCAGGTCCTAGGGACCCTGTCGGGGCATGAGTAGGCCCATGGCTGCAGCTCACACACCAGGGCACACGTGTATGCCCACATGGTCGTGAACTCACCACACGCTGGGCACCCATGACCATGGACCCCACATGGGTCCCTGCTCAACTGCATAGATGGAGAGACCAAGGCCCCCAGAGGGGCAGGGTCTCCCCAGCAGCCCTGCCTGTACAAGGCAGGCACAGGGGCCAGGAGGAGGCGAACTGCTGCACCAGCTCATGCCCCTGGAACCTTGGATGAAAGTCAGACTCCAAGGAGGACTTCCCAGCAGGGCTGCTCTGCCACCAACAGGATGTGGCCCACTTCCCGGAGGCCCAGCCCCAGACCTTGAAAGATGGGAAGGAGTGCCCATGGGGGAGGCAGGAGACTCCCTATACCTGTGTGACCCATGCTCCTCTCAGCCTCAGTTTCCCCATCTGTACAATGGCCATGGGTGGGGTGCGGTGATCCTGGGTTCAAAGGACAGCTGCTGTCCCTGAGCCCTAGCCCGTCCTC